AGTAAGTAATGTATAACATCCAACACATTCATAGGCAGTTCTCAATGCTGACAATGGTTGGTGAGTAATGTATAACATCCAACACATTCATAGGCAGTTATCAATGCTGACAATAATTGGTAAGTAATGTATAACATCCAACACATTCATAGGCAGTTCTCAATACTGACAATGGTAGGTAAGTAATGTATACCATCCAACACATTCATAGGCAGTTCTCATTGCTGACAATGGTTAGTACGTAATGCATAACATCCAACACATTCATAGGCAGTTCTCAATGCTGACAATGGTTGGTAAGTAATGTATAACATCCAACACATTCATAGGCATTTCTCAATGCTGACAATGGTTAGTAAGTAATGTATAACATCCAACGCATTCATAGGCAGTTATCAATGCTGACAATAATTGGTAAGTAATGTATAACATCCAACGCATTCATAGGCAGTTATCAATGCTGACAATAATTGGTAAGTAATGTATAACATCCAACACATTCATTGGCAGTTCTCAATACTGACAATGGTTGGTAAGTAATGTACAACATCCAACACATTCATAGGCAGTTCTCAATGCTGACAGTGGTTGGTATGTAATGTATAACATCCAACACATTCATATGCAGTTCTCAATGCTGACAGTGGTTGGTATGTAATGTATAACATCCAACACATTCATAGGCAGTTCTCAATGCTGACAATGGTTGGTAAGTAATGTATAATATCCAACACATTCAAAGGCAGTTATCAATACTGACAATGGTTGGTGAGTAATGTATAACATCCAACACATTCATAGGCAGTTCTCAATACTGACAATGGTGGGTAAGTAATGCCTAACATCCAACACATTCATAGACAGTTCTCAATGCTGACAGTGGTTGGTAAGTAATGTATAACATCCAACACATTCATAGGCAGTTCTCAATACTGACAATGGTTGGTGAGTAATGTATAACATCCAACACATTCAAAGGCAGTTCTGAATGCTGACAATGGTTGGTAAGTAATGCATAACATCCAACACATTCATAGGCAGTTGTCAATACTGACAATGGTTGGTAAATAATGTATAACATCCAACACATTCATAGGCAGTTCTCAATGCTGACAATGGTTGGTAAGTAATGTATAACATCCAACACATTCATAGGCAGTTCTCAATGCTGACAGTGGTTGGTAAGTAATGTATACCATCCAACACATTCATAGGCAGTTATCAATGCTGACAATAATTGGTAAGTAATGTATAATATCCAACACATTCATAGACAGTTCTCAATGCTGACAGTGGTTGGTAAGTAATGTATAACATCCAACACATTCATAGGCAGTTCTCAATACTGACAGTGGTTGGTAAGTAATGTATAACATCCAACACATTCATAGGCAGTTCTCAATACTGACAATGGTGGGTAAGTAATGTATACCATCCAACACATTCATAGGCAGTTCTCATTGCTGACAATGGTTAGTAAGTAATGTATAACATCCAACACATTCATAGGCAGTTATCAATGCTGACAATAATTGGTAAGTAATGTATAACATCCAACACATTCATAGGCAGTTCTCAATACTGACAATGGTAGGTAAGTAATGTATACCATCCAACACATTCATAGGCAGTTCTCATTGCTGACAATGGTTAGTAAGTAATGCATAACATCCAACACATTCATTGGCAGTTCTCAATGCTGACAA